AGTTAACCCTAATCTTACAGAAATAAAAAAATTCACACTAAAATTGCAATTATAGTTTTAATTATTAAAAAATGGTTTATACGAAATTTCTGAAAAGGAAATAAGTTTAAAATGCATTTGCATTAAAAAAATAAGTATTTTATTTACTGTAATAAAATAATATATACCTATCAGAACAAAAAATATTAAAATCAATATAAAATTATATTAATAATAATATAATTAAGTATCTTACTATTATTCGACTTAGGTCCTGGTGGCCGCAAAACCCCAAGTGGAATTTTTTTATGTTAAATAATATAATCTTACTGGTTTGTCGATAATTAGTATATATTTTAATTAATTAATTTGATTTCGTAAAATTATAATCGTCGGTGTATGGGGATATATGGACTGCCCCTTCGAATAATTAGAGTATTGGCAACACAACATACACCAACGCCATGACACTTTCTGTTATCAAATAGTGCTGGCTCGTTTATGGCTAACTTCACACTCGTGATAACATTAGGTATTGTTTTTGAATCTAACTTAATATTATGTTTTGTACTTGTTGTACTTAGTAGTTAGTTGTGTTTAGTGTTTGGTGTTTTTCCCGCCAAAGTCACCAACGTAGAATGTTTATAACAAATAATAACCATCTAAACCTGTAAAATCACTTATTCAACGAAAACTCCAATAAAGAATAATCGAGAGAGCAGTCTTCATTCAAGTCAGAACAGATTCAATGACCAATTTTCTCGGTCACTTTTATGCTATCGAAAAACGGTTAGAATCGTCCGTAACTCAACCTAATAGCAAAAAAATATTTTGTGAATAAAGTTCTTGTGTCCATTTTGCTCAAGGTCTTCATAACTCTTGTGTAACCATAATCAACGACTTCTACAAACAACAATTTGGCGTTGGTTAAATGTTTAAAGCAACAATATTAAGAAAAAGTCTGAAACGTTTAAATAAAAAAACAAATGAATTTGCTGCATTAGTTTTTTTCCAGTAATCAAGTATTGTTATTGGAACATGAAAGTATAGAAGATTTTGAATGTTTTGATGACAGTAAAACAATTCATTTAAAATAATTATTTTCTGTGGAATTTTGAACTCGGATGAACAGAACTTATCAGATTAAAATTCCCTAGCCGTCTTTTCAAATATTACATATTACGTAAAAATTTTATATGGCGAAGAATTGTTACTCGCAAGTATTTCCTCATTTAAATTCAGCATAATATTGAAGTTGACAAGCATGGCTGTACTGTAATTAGTTCTACGCCTTCAAGATGACCGTGAGTACATAATATGGAAAAGGGAAATGTACAGTACTTTGAAAAAATGCTTCTCCTTAATATATCTTAATCGATGGTTAATTTATAAATTGCTCACCCATATTTACAAAATAAAAACAATTTAAGTATTTATTAAATATAGTAATATAGTATTGATGATAATCTTAAAAATATTTACACAATTTTCTTGGAATATTAATCAAATTTTAACAACTTATGGTTGTACTCTTGGTAGATTGAAATGTCTAAAATTATGTGATGTGTTTATAATAATATCGACGGCTAGTACACAGGTACAATAGATGTTTTTTTTTAAAAATAAACTTAAAGGAATTTGGTTTAAAAATATATAATGCTGTATCGTGTATTTACTGAACTTGCCACGGCCCGCCATGCCATGCCAATGGTAAACTTTTGTATTCATGCTATTCCATGTAATATATTGTACAAATAATAATATTTCTCAAGTAATTTGAATGGAATTTTTCTAAAACAATTATTTTTCGCCTAGTTATGTTTGACAGAGTATTTTTCATAGCAATAAAAATTATATTATGTATATATGTGTCTTTTGCTGTGCAATGTACATAACTTATTTGTTTAAAAAAAAAAAAAAAAAGCCTCTTATCTCACCTGTGCAATAGTGCTCATTAATACTATCACGTTTCCAAGCATTTTTAATAGTTCTTTATTAAATATGAAAGAGTTTTCATTCATTGATATACTATACGTGTTAATTCATTTTTTTTTTGCAACTTTATCTAATTTTTGTCGTCTTTTTTTTACTTCAAATCATCGAAGACTCGGACGTCAAAATTAAAGAATGGAAATTTGATGTTTTATTGATTTTAATAAACTCAAGAACGAAGAGAAGAATTTTACGGAAAAACTATTGTCGATGCTACTTGACTCTTCATTGTACAGATTTTTGACATTTACATGTCTTAGCTCTGGCACATAACCGAAAAAATCGTTATCAAAAAACAAATGGTGATGAAGATGAGGTTTGGGGTGGAAATGGGGTTGGGGTTGGGGTTGGGGGTGGAAATTAGCTGTGGTACATAACCGAAAAAAAACGTAATGACTCAGTATCTCGGTGGGAGATAGAGTTGGGGTATATGGGTAGGAGATAGGGGTGGGAATGGGGATGGGGGTAGGGGTAAGAGATATGATATAGGGGTGGGAGATAGGTGGTTGGAGATAGGGGGTGGAATAAAGTGGTGAGAGCTAGGGGGTGGAAGATAGGGGTAGGAGATAGGTGGGGTAGATAGGGGGCGAGTGATAGGGGTTGGGAGATAAGAAGTGGATGAGAAGGGTAGGAGATAGAGGGAAGGGGATAGGGGATGGGAACTAGTGGGTAGGAGATAGATATAGATATAGGAGATAAGAGATATGTTGTAGGTTCAACGTTCAAATTAGAGCTAAATAATAAATTCAAAACAGTTTAAGGGCCCAAAATCTCTATGAAATTGTTTTAAGCCAAATACTAAACACTACAATATTAGCCAGAAACTTGATGTTTTATTATACTAGCATGTTACTGCTTCTTAATATACTATATCATTATTTATAATTCTACCACTAATCTAAATTTATCTCGGTACTTCAACGAGACATGTAAATGCTTTTTCGTGGTTGCAGTTTCGGCTGAAAAACTTTTTTTTTTTATATTTGCACAAAATAAAATTGGGTTTTTTCTCCTTAACTTCTGGGTTTTCTTCTTTTTTTCTCTGAAAAATTATGTTTATTCATGAATTTCAAGTCAGGGATGACTATTTTATTCTACGTAATGATTTAAACATTGTTAACTATTACAATAGTTTTAAATGTGGATTTTTTATTTAAAATTGTTATTCTCTTTGTCTGACATGTCTACTCTCTAAGAGTTTTTGCCACCATTACTACACTTCGCCACCTATCTTTATCTTGTACTGCCTCTCTCCAATCCTCATTTCCAAGTGTTTTTAGATCTTCTTCCACCACATTAAACCATCTTTTCCTAGGTCTTCTTGTAGGTCTTTTCCCTTATGGTTTCCATTTCAATGTCACTTTAACTGTTTCGTCCTCTCTACTTTTCATATTATGGCCTAATCATTGTATCCGTTGGCCCATAAAGCTTGTTACTGCTGGTGCTAGTTCTAACATATCGTACAACTCTTTGTTATGTCTCCTCCGCCAGTTCCCCGTGGTTTCATCGATAGGTCCACATATTTTCCTCCAAACTCTGTTCTCGAAAGTCCTCAGATTACTCTCTGTTTGTTTGGACGTCGTCCAAGCTTCGCAACCATACGCGAGAGTCAGTCTTATAATAACCACATACAGTCTAACTTTTGTTTTCCTAGACATCATTTTGGATGTTAAGAATTTTGTCAGTGCGTAAAAGGCTTTTTGGGCTTTATTTACCCGAGTACTTATTTCCTTTGCCCAGTCATTCTTTGTGCTTATCGTTGCTCCCAAATATTTAAAATCGCTAACCTTTTCATAGATTAGGTCCTCTATCTCATTGTGCTCCGCCCCACTCTCAATGAGTTCCATAATCTTTGTTTTCTTATTATTTATTTCAAGACTTATTGACATTTTCATGTCTTAGCTCAGGCACATAACCCTGGCACATAACATGGGTTGGGGGTGGGAATTAGCCGGTACATAACCGAAAAAAGCGTTACCAAAAATTATAACGAAAGTTTTTCAGCCGAGGGTGCAACGACGAAAGAGCATTTTCATGTCTCGTTGAAGTACCGAATAAATTTAGATTAGTTGTGAAATTATAATTAAAAAAAAAAAAAATTACAAGGAGCTTCCAGGTACAGCATAGGCCATTTGTAACAATCTTGTAGTCATTCCGTCCTAAGTGGATATTTTTGTTCAAAACAATTATACTATAATTACAACTTGATATCAAACGAAATGTGTCAACGTGGCATTTTATTTTACAACCTTATACAAGTACACGTAGATTAAAATAATTTAAGTAAACACAATAAACACGTCTTGAAAAAACAGTGTCAAAGAATTTTGGGAAATAATAATTAAAATCCTAAAAAAGTTTTTCATTCCTGAAATAATAGCTGTTAAAAAAATTTGTATGTTAAATTAATAAATATAACATCAATGGTGTAACGCATCATGTTTGGGACGGGAGTGTAAAATATGAGCTCGACGCTAATATAATTGGGAAATAATTTCGGCAGGTGTATAAACAAAAATGAAATTAATTAAAATTGTATTCAAATATTAGAAACTTGTGATTTTAAGTTTAGTTTTTTTATCAAATAGTGCTATCGTGTGTTGTTTTGTAGACGCTACGATAATGGTTTCGCAAACGTTGGTTTCAATACTAGCGTGGGTAGCTGTAATAGGTTTTACACGCGTTGTATCGGAAGACTTACAAAGATTGGAACTAGCTAATAAATTAAACATGTTAGTTCATCATTCGGGATGGCGGTTTATGGAGGACGTTAAAATCATAAAAAATAAAAATAATTGCAGAACAATCACGGATCCGATGTCCGAAATACTCGGAGCTATATGGTCGAACCAGAATCCGATCGACGAATCCAACGCCTTTGAAAGATACGAGGATATTTGGACTGTACTCAGGTGTAAGTATGCGGAGGTTATTATTAAGTACAGGATATTCTTATCACATTTAATACGAATTTGCCGATCTGAAAAACTAAAGAAAAATCATAAAACGACCAACGCTTCTCTTCAAAGATATTACCATTGTTTTGATTCGGTGCTGACCAAACTCCAAAACGTGTCGCCGAGCCTCAGAAACCTGGCAGACGCGTTGGACCTGATTAACTCGCTAGATCCGCCAACGAAACCTAGGCAAAGCATAAATGTTGCTTACGATAAATTAGCTAAGTTTACTAAAACTTTCCCGCCAAATACGGTGTCAAAATTGACCCAACAAGGTATCGACGAGGATTCAGTTGATCTGGAAATGAAAACTATAAGCGAATATATAAGAGATGTATTTAACAAAAATATAACTTCGTTTGTCGCCCGTTTTTGTGTCATGCCGTTACACAAAGAATGGACAGCAGAGAATATAATCAGAGATTATGAGTACAAAAAGATAATCCAGAGGTTACCGCAGGAGGCGACTTTATTGGAATATATAATGAACGAAGTCGATTGGTACGCTGGTGACATCTTTGGCAGTTGGTTTATCAATTTGGGCTTTGCATTAGACGACACGGGAAATGTCACGATCAGGAATAACTAAAATATAATTAGCACCGAATTAATTTTTTACAGTGTAAATTAATCAACATAACATTGTATTCGTTCCATCTTAAGTGAATATTTTTGTTTAAAACCATTATTTATAACAACTAGATACCAAGCAAAATGTCTCAGCGTGGCATTTACAATCTTATACATGTACACGTAAATTATATAATTTAAGTAAACACATAAAACACTAAGAAAAATTGCTGTTACAGAATTTTGGGAAATATTTTAATTAATTATTAGCACCGAAGTAACGATTTACAGCGTAAATTAACCACTACTATACTAATATTGTATTTATTCCAAATTTAGTTAATATTTTTTTTCGTTTAATACAATTATATATTTACAACATGATATCAATCAATATATGTCATATATCACTATTTTTGTTCATAGCTAAGTTTTTACTTTGTGCTCGCTCCTTTTTACAATTCAGTTGGTCATTGAAAAAGTTTAATCGAAAAGTGGCTACAACCCTAGGAGAACAAAATAATTATAGATTTTGATTATTTTCAATCCATAGAAATTGGGTTCGTGGCAATTAGTAGATAGGGAAAGTAGTGATAAAATTAACATAGAATATGTTTTCATTTAGGTACTTATTTTAATTAATAGAACCTCGAAGTGATTAGAAATCGTTGATCATAAGTAAGGTAATAATAGAAAAAAAAATTGTTTATATCATTCACACATTCAATTTTTTTATATTACTATGTGAATTATATATCTTCAATATTTGAGAATGACCCATATAAATTAAAATGCCCTAGACGGTAAGTCTCCCTTAAAATTACTGTTTTTGCCATACTATTTACGATTCCTCCTATTTTGTTGTATATGTATTAGAAGATATATTCACAGGAGAATTTTGAGAGGTTACTATAGTTGATGATATTGATATTGCCATTGTAACTCAATGGCTGTACACAATGTATTTTATGCCATTATCTATACCTCTCCTATGGTCAATGCTAATTTTTGTATCATCTGAGGTCTACAGTGTTATCACTTGCCCAGAAAATATTTTTATGAGTATTATATTTATATTATTACTACACAGAAAATAAAATTAAGTATAATTTGGTGGGGTTTGGTTATATTTGGTCCACAAAGACCACGTCTTAGATAAACAAATCTGTTTCTCTACAAAAATAAAAATAATAATAAATTGGAATTTTAAAATTCTTATCACGATTATTTAGTGTCTAAATCTGATAGGGATAGTTTTGTTTTCTTGGTAAATGCACAGTCATTAAACATCTTAGTATATTTGTAAAACAAGAAAAAAGTTTAAATCTTTGAAAAAATTTTCGGTTCGCCTGCATATTTTTCAGTCATACCCGGTGAAAGAAACACCAAACACATGCTATTAAATATGTTCAATATTTGCTGTCTTGGACTAAATTTAAGACAAAGGTAAACTATACTTTTTCCCCTAAATTACGACAACGTTGTAACGAATGTGTGGTGTACACGTACGTTATTGTTTCAGCATGTGTTTAAACAAAAAATTATATAAATAAAGACTGTAATCAAATTTACGAATCTTGCAATTTTCATTAAAGTTTTTTATTTGAATAGTTCTATTGTGTGTTGTTTTTTAGATCCTATGATAATGTTTTCGCAAACGTTGGTTTCAATACTAGTTTGGGTTGCTGTAATTGGTTTTACATGCGTTGTATCGGAAGATTTGGAAAGATCGGAACTCGCTTATAAATTAAACATGTTGGTGCGTCATTCGGGATGGCGGTTCATGGAAGACGTTAAAATCAAAAAACTTATAAATTATAAATTAATAACCAGGGATCCTATGCCCGAAATACTTGGAGCCATATCGTCAAACCGGAATCCTGTCGACGAATCAAACGTCCTGGAAAGATACACGCAGATTTGGACCGTTCTCCGGTGTAAGTACGCAGAGGTTATTATTAAGTACAGGATATTCTTACAACATTTGATACGGGTTTGCCGAAATCAAAAAGAAAAGGTAAACAATAAAACGACCGTATTTTCATTTCAAAAGTATTACTATTGTTTTAATTCGGTGCTGACTAAACTCCACAACGTATCGCCGAGTTTAAGAACCTTGGCAGACGCACTGGACTTGATTAACTCATTAGATCCGCCAACGAAACCTAAGCAAAACATAAGTATTGCATACGATAGGTTAGCCGAGTTTACTAAAACTTTCCCGCCAAATACGGCGTCGAAATTGTCCCAACAAGGTATCGACGAGGATTCAGTTGATCTGGAAATGAAAACTATAAGCGAGTCTATCCAGGATGTGTTTCACAAGAATGTTAATATGTTTGTCAGCCGTAATTGCATCATGCCGTTACACAAAGAATGGACAGCCGAGAATTTGGTCAGAGATTATGAGTTCAAAAAGATAATGCAGTGGATACCACAGGACACTCCTTTTTTGGAATATGTAAAGAACGAAGTCGATTGGTACGCTAATGATATCATAGGCAGTTGGTTTATTAATTTGGGCTTTGCATACGACGGCTCGGGAAATGTCACGATCAGGAATAATTAAAATATAATTATCATTAAAGTAACAATTTACAGTGTAAATTAATCAATATAATATTTTATTCAATCCGTCTTTTGTAAATAATTTTGTATATTTATTATTATTGTATACGGGCTGGGTCCTTTTTACATGTATACATATATGCATATTTGTACATTAGTGAAGAAAACATTAAATACACTACTCATCAGCAACTTATAAACTAAACAAAACTTAACATATTAAACATCAAAGATTAGGCTTGAAAATTAAAATTAAAATTAGGATCCACATTGGCATTAGTCATCGTTATGGTTCATTTGCTAAATAATTAGTGGTGGCACGTGGGACGTAACAAGGACAATTATATTGTATGAACCACTTGATATCAATCAAAATTTGTCAACGAAGCATTTTATATAAGGACTTTATATATATACACTTAGATTAAAATATTAATAAATAATTTAGGTCAACACATAAAACACTAAGAAAAAACGCTGTTTCAGAGTTTTGGGAAATAATAATTATAAACATAATAAATGTTTGCTACTTTGGAATAATAAATATAATAATAGGCAATATAAAAGCTCGACGCTAAATATACTGACAAACAGTCTCGGCAAGTGTTTAATCAAAACATTTAATTAACAACAATTTTCATCAATTGTTTGTACATTGTGTTCTTTAGGAATTTTTTTTTTTATCGAATAGCACTGCTTGGTTTTTATTTTTTTAGACGCCATCGTAATGCATTGACAAACGTGGCTTACAAACTATTTTGAGTTGCGATTTTTTGTTTTACACGCGTTGTGACGAATGAATTAAGCGAATTACAAAAAACATAACTCGCTAATAAATGAAACATGTTGGCGCATCATTTGGGATGCCAGTTTATGATAAACGTAAATTGGGGTAATTCAATTATAACTAGTACCGATTTACATGCAAATAAGCGGCATGCATTTTCTCATATTTTCGTATGATCAATTCCACTAAAATTTGAAAAAAATCTAAATTTGCAAAATTCGCATATTACGACGGCTATCGAGTTGATAATTTTGCAAAAATATTCTTAGGTCATGTGTTTTTGAAGATTTGGTAAGAAAATGTAATTTTGTTCGGAGATATTTGCATATGACGACACGGGAAATGTCACGATCAGAAATACTTAAGATATAATTAGCACTTAGGTAACGATTTACAGTTAAAATTAACCAATAAAATATTGTATTTGTTCCTTCTTATATTTTTACTACACGGCATATTAGATTAGTTTAGGTTAGCTTTGGTCAAATTTTTATAAAACCACGTTTTAGATCGGTTACTCTACAAAAATATTATTAAAAAGGTATAACATTAGTGTCTAAATTTGCTAGGAACGCATAAGTTTCCTTTCTAAACTCACAATCATAAAACATCCATATATATACGTTATATGCTAGCAAAAAGTATAAAAGTAATAATTTAAAATTTTCGGTTCCCCTACAAGTCAATACCTACGCATCATGTTTAAGTCGGGAATGTAAACTATGAGCCCGACGCTAATATTATTGGCAAATACTTTCGGCAGGTGTTTAAACAAAAAATGAAATTAATTAAAACTGTAATAAAATGTCTGAACCTTGTATTTTTAATAAAGTTTTTTTAATCGTATAGTTCTATTGTGTGTTGTTTTTGAGACCCTATGATAATGTTTTCGCAAACGTTGGTTTCAATACTAGTTTGGGTTGCTGTATTTGGTTTTACACGCGTTGTATCGGAAGATTTACAAAAATCGGAACTCGTAAATAAATTAAACATGTTGGTACGACATTCGGGATGGCGGTTCATGGAAGACGTTAAAATAAAAAAACATATAAATTATGACTTGATAACCACGGATCCTATGTCCGAAATACTTGGAGCCATATGGTCGAACCGGAATCCTGTCGACGAATCAAACGTCCTGGAAAGATACAAAGAGATCTGGACTGTGCTCAGGTGTAAGTACGCGGAGGTTATTATTAAGTACAGGATATTCTTACAACATTTGATACGGGTTTGCCGAAAGGAAAAAATAAAGTTAAACAATAAAACGACCGACATTTCACTTCAAAGGTATTACCATTGTTTTGATTCGGTGCTGACCAAACTCCACAACGTATCGCCGTGGTTCAGAACACTGGCAGACACGTTGACCTATATTTACTCGATTGGTCCAAAATGGAAACCTAAGCAAAGCGTAATGATCGGCATGGAAAAATTGGCCGAGTTTACTGAAACTTTACGATCTGATACAAGGTCTAAATTTGCTCAAAATGGTTTCTACGAAGATTTGGTCGATCTCGAATTAAAATCAATAAGCGAGTATATCCAGAATGTGTTTCACAGTAGCGTGAGTACGTTTGTTACTCGTTATTGCGTCATGCCGTTACACAGAGAATGGACAGCAGAGAATTTAATCAGAGATTATCAGTACAAAATGATAACCCAGAGGATACCACAGGACACTCCTTTTATAGAATATGTGAAGAACGAAGTCGATTGGTACGCTAATGATATTTTGGGAAGTTGGTTCATCAATTTGGGCTTTGCATACGACGATACGGGAAATGTCGCGATCAGGAATATTTAAAATATAATTAGCACTTAGGTAACGATTTACAGTTTAAATTAATCAATATAATCTTGTAGTCATTTCGTGCTAAGTGAATATTTTTGTTTAAAACAATCATACTATATTAACAACTTGCTATCAAATGAAATATAT